TTAGCTTTGTAATAACATCCTGAAGAAGAAAATTATCAAATATATTGATGAGATTACCACTTTATAATCACTGTCAAATAGGTTTTAAAAATGTACTTATCCTCACAATTTCAAAGTTTTCTTTGTCAGAGTTTTATGGTAACAAAAGATTTCTGATGTCATCACTGCTGACATCAGCAGCATGGGTTCAATTTCTATACTAGTTGAGGTCACTATGAAGGCTGCAGCTTCTCAAACATGTCTGACACATGGTGACCCAACAGTTAACCTCACCACCAGTCATTTCTCTCTAATGACAGCGTAGCCTGTGGTTCTCTGGGACCATGGCAACATTCTCTGGGACCATGGCAACTTTCTCTTCACTGAGGTAAGGAAAAAAACACAGCTGGCACAATTTTAAAATTCTTCTCAAGTCGCATTAGAAAAGGTGTTCAATCTTGGAAATTAACAAATCACAAAACAATTCTATGAAACAATACATTTGTTAATATTAATACCCTTTTGAAACTTTGTTATCCCACAACTCCTTTTCATTAATTTATCTTCATTGAATCCCTATTTCAAAAAGCAGTCACACACATTTCAATATTTTAGCCAATGTAGTTACTTTCCAAGGTCAAAGCAGGTTCTGGAATATATCTAAAGCACATATCTTTATAATATTAGAATGACAAGACAGTAGCCAAAGGCGGTATGATTTTTCTCCCCAGTTAATTGACAGTCAGTCAGTCATGGAGGAACCATCATCAAAAACCGCAGGTCTCTAAAAGGCCCCTGTAACATTAAATTCAAATTCAACAACATGCAACATCTTGCCTTTACAACTTTAACACGAAGAAAATTGCCCAGATACAGCTCAGAGTTGTAAAAAAACAGAGAATGGATATGAAGCTAGAGAAAAATTAATCTGTAAATTGCCTCAATGGTGGGCTCAATTGGAATTTTATTAAGTACAGGCTTAAGTCGAATTGAATGCTAGGAAGTGACAGGTAAAACACAGCTGATCAAAGTCAGGGGTTTTTAAGGAACAAAGGCTTTTGCAGCTGAAAAATCCTTAAAGTCTTCTAAGCTAAAAGCCATAAAGTTTTGTGTATGCAAAGAAGATGTCATTCAGAAAAGGCGTGTGGCAATCAAAGAGCATCTGCATATAGATATCACATTGTCACATTTTTGCAGAAACGTGAGAACCTTAAAATGCATACAGACAGTCAATAAAATTCCACATTTCACAAAATTAGATTTCTGAGCAAATATACTGGAAAATAATTGACAAGTGGGGTAAGAAAAAAATGGACACTCATGATACTTAATTGGTCAGTTAAACACAAAGTTTCTTTCAAACTTCAAATTTAAAAACAGGGCACATGCATCCCACCAGTCAGTTTGAAAGTAATAATCTTTCTTCATCTTGTTTATGCTTAGATTCCATCTGTAGCAAGAAAATTCTCTGCCTTCTTACATGCGCAGTCTATACCTCGTAGGTAAAGATACTTTTACAAATAAAAGGTACTCTTCAAGACATAAAGGACTGAATTTTGCCACAACCATACCAATACCACAGAATGAATGAGAATGAAATACTGATCATTAATTTAGAAGAATAAATAGTTGATTGTTTGGTGCGATCTTCTTGTGGATAGTTTCTGAAGGAGCCACTTTCAGGAACCACAATGTAATGATGGATAGTGTGTGGGCACTAGAAAGAGGGTGGTCAGTCAGAACAGGACAAGGGAAGGGAAGATAGCAGCATCATTAGGCATGAAGGCATGTACTCGATGGGTGAATGCAGAAAAATAAAGACAAAGATAGAGATATGGCACAAGCTGGAACCAACAGAAAAATCCTACCATCTAAAACTGTCAGATTTATCAGCAGGGAAACACTTCCACTTGAAAGTATTTGCATGGAGATGTGCGGAATGCAACCTGTGCATTCATTTAAAGATAACAACACATTCATGCTCCAATCTCCAACTGTGTTCTCGCTTTCACGAAGAGACAAGCTGTAGACACAGCCAGAGCCCCATGCACCTTTGACAAATTGCCAATGCCTGAGGAAAACAACAATTGATTGGAAGCATAATGGCCTTAATTGGCTTCCTACTGCTGGGCGGGTTGTCTCCTAGGCATGCAAATAGTCGTGGGGAAAAGCAGCTGGAGACAGAGCATCTGGAAGTTAGATCAATGCACTTTTAAAATGTTCCTGGTTCCTCTGCGTTTAAAGCTGCCTCCAAGGGTCTGGGAAAAATGTTTCCAGAGTCACTGGATCTGAACATTAAAATGTGCATCTACAACAGTCAGTTACAAGCACAATTATGTCAATTCATTGTACAATTGTTGAGATCAAGCAAGGTGGAGACATCAATACTCATATGCAAGTGGTGCTCAACCAAACCTGAAGATTCAAGCAGAACAGAAATTCCCATCTCCATAGGGGCTCAGTAACTTAAGATGCCCGAAGCAATTGTCTCAATTTCAGCAAAGGAAGTTACACTCAATCAAATCTCAACCAGAGATCTGATCTTTTAAGTTATAAAGATGTGTATTCACAAGCATTTGGACATGTATAAATAAAACAAAAATCTACTAACTAAAAACTGGCAATCTAATGTTGTTAATTTCTCAATTTTTTGAGATGTAACCCCATTTGTACTTCACCAATTTTCAGTAATCTCAGACAGAACTCTAATATACACATTCCAGGAATGTTCAATTGTAAAACACTGATGGATCATCATTGATTTTCTTAAGTAACTCTGTCCATTAATGGTTATTCAAATTATTAGATAGTCCTGACTGCATCTATTCCTATTTATTAATTTTTGTATATCTGATGTTTAACTTGAAGTTGTGTTCTCCCAGTCAATGCAAACCTATAGTGTGTAGCTTCTTGTCTGACTTCATCCTTTATTATTTGGCAAGGAAAGAGAATTCATGAACTCACTAAATCGTGGCATCCCAACTGACAGTCCATCAAGTAAGTACATTTTCACTCTTAAATGGGAGATGCAAACTAGCACAATGAGTTGACTTGGGTATCAATCACTTTGAAACTGCATGGCGTAAATCCCCAAATGGTTCCTTAATGAGATTTTAAGCAAAAAGGTTACAATTTTGACTGGTTTCATAGCATTATATATCACAAGAAACAGACATTTAACCCATCATGTCTGTGACAGCTCTTTACTACTGCTATCTAATTATTCCTATACTTTTAACCTTTTCCAAGGTATTTGCCATTTTTAACAGACAATTTGCCAAAATCCAATGTTGTTACAAAGCAAAATAGCGTAGAAGCTATGATGAGATGCTAGCAATAGCTTGGTCAAGATGGACTTTAAACATATGTTTAAATGAGGAAACGGAGCCAGAAGTGCTGAGTGAAAAAATTCCTACAAGTAGTACCTAGATATCTAAAAGTATTGCCACCAATAGAAAGTTCAGAGTCTGGGTTACTTGTGCAAAACAAAAAGAGGGAAAAAGTGATACATTTCAAGCATTTAAGTAAAAAGTATACAATTGTACATGTGAAACATTGGAGAAAAAGGATCAAATACAAGTTAGCAAGCACAGGAATGCAAATGATAGAGATACAGCAGCAGAGTTTTAGGTGGGCTGACATTTTTGGAGAATGTGATATTGCAATTGCAATAGTCAAGTCTGAAGGTGATCCAAGTATGAAAGCATTTAACCAACAGATAGATTGAAGTAGTCACATTGGTAGATGAGTGGAAAAAATTGCCTTATGAGGTATAAGCATTGAAGTCAAAATATTAGCTAGAGAATAACAAGTTTCCTACAGACTCAGGTTCTGACAATGTTTAAGGAAGGGATACTGTCAGTGGCAAAAATAAAACACTGGACGAGATTATAAATGATCCGAAACTGGATGTCAGATAATTAGTCCAACAGTAGATTAGCAACCGAAGCGTTAAAACAGAAAGGAGATTTGGTGCATTTAAATATCATAGTTATACGTGTGGATGATTATTCTGAACCTGATCAAAGGTTACACACAGACTGGGAGTCACAGTTTCAAAAAATATAATCAGAGCCTCGATCAGGGCAATTTTGATGTTGCAGCAGAGAAACCTGAATAAAGAAATTCAAACGAGAATTTGTGGAAAAGGTAAGTAATGGTTCAGTACATTCAAGGATTTTGTTAGGAAAAGGTGTTTGGAGTTGGGTGGTGGTTAACAACGTACAGATCATTGGTATGATTTTTGAGGAGATGAAAATAGGTGGTGATTTTGAAAGGGAGATGGACTGCCTGAAGAAAATTAACCACAAAATTTTCAATGACTTGAGCTCCCAAAAAGTAACTTTGGTGCTTAAGTGTTTAACTGGGATGGGTTTGAGGGATTAAGAGTTTAAACACACATAAAAAAGGGAGATTATGGTCAGGATAAGAACAAGTTATGAGGCAAGAAGTGACTTGCCAGTAAGGGGAAAGGTTATGAAGCAATGCAGCCGAAGTGGCTTCAATTCTGTAAGCAATGAAATCAATTGGCTTCTCATGACAGATACCTGATGGAGGCAAGATAATAAAGATTTCACAGGCAATGCAGATATCAAAGGTAGAACTGGGAATTGTTTTTGTATCTTACTTTTGGGGGCTACATGCCGAGATTAATGACATCAGAATCATAAGGCAGAGGAATAGTGTTAGATTCAAATAGAGACAAGGGCGAGTTCATTTAATTAAGAGAAGTGGGAGGTGCAATGCTGAATGACAGAGCAAAAAAGAAAAGTAATTTGAACATAGTGGAAAGGTGAGCTTTTTGTTATTTAGAAAAATTCCTTCAACTGCTGTTTGAACATTTAAATTACATACCTAGGCTGCTCTGATTTTGTGCTATGCAATTTTAAGCAGACATTTTCTTGAAAGAAAATCTACCCAGAACAGTCATCTTTCAGGCTGGCTGTTAGTGTAAGCTAAAACATCAAATGACACAATATTTGACACTAGAAGAAATACATTTTCATTTAACAAAAGCTCACCTGAGACCAGTTGGCTCTTCGCATCGGAGCTTCTGGATTGTATTGTTTCTTAGGCTGTAGTCCATATGGTAGTGCTGCAGGAGCCTGCGAACGAAGGGCTGGACCCCCGAACGGTGGAGGAGGAGGAGCAGGGCCCCCAAATGGCGGCGGTGGTGGTGGTGGTATGCCTGGGCCACCAGGAAGTGGAGGTGGTGGTGGTGGTGGTGGTGGAGGGGGAGGGGGAGGACCAACGCCTCCTGGAAGGGGAGGTGGTGCTGGAATTCCACCAGGGGGAGGAGGTGGCGGTGGCGGTGGTGGTGGTGGTGCGGGTGGAGGCACATTAGAAGGCACAGGTGCTGTTTTCCGCTGTGTAAAAATAATCGAAGAATTACCATATTAAAAATATGTATAAACTTACAAGTAAAATTTTCAAAAGATATTCATAACTCAGGTGAATTCTTGAAATATAGGGTGAATAGATATATCATGGGTCAATTATCTATTCAAAGACAGAATAACTGCAAATATACAAGTTATAAAAAGATTTTAAACATTACATGTGACAATCAGCTGCAAATGGTTGATAAACAAAGATAATGTCCATTGTTTTCAAAATCATAATTGAGAACTGTACTCATTATCTCAATGTATTTATTAAACTACTTATCCCATTTATGCATTTTAGCATTCAACAGGCTTATTCGACTTAAAACAGTAACTCTGTTTCTCTTTCCACAGATGGTGCCAGATTTAAGCATCTCCAGCGTTTTCTCTTATTCCAGATATTCATCACTATGTTGATTTTATTTGGGCCTATTCGGTGGTTAGCTAGATCACCTACAGCATAACATCCCAGAACTCATCTCCCACTCTGTGTCTGAAATGAGCTAAGTCAGGAAACGACACAGGAACATTATAATTGGTCTCCATGCCACAGTTTAGGGTCATGGGATAATCAGCCCTGAAACAAAGATCCAAAATCAATGCCCAGCAGTCCATACAGTGGAAATGCATATGGACATTGAACATAGAACTGGGTTCAGCCTTGATGGCTGAACTCAGATGAGAATAAAATTAGACTCAACTACAAGGTCTGTAATGGTTGAATAGCTTACCAACATGCATTGCTCAGCCAAGTTATCTCACAATATCAAGATGGGTATTTAACAGAGGAATACTGTTTCATCCATATCTCTGGCTAACTCAATGGTGATATTGCTCCCATAGTCAATTAAGTCTGACTTTGTCTTTCTGGACCTAACTTCAAGCAAAATGAAAATATTATGACGCTTCAGTAGTTTTACTGTGAATTAGACCCCCATGGTGTAGAAAGCTGACGTACCTTTTAGCACATCACAAATTCATTTGGTCGAAAAGATAGCAATTTGGCTGCTTTTGTACTTATTCCTTTCACACAGTGTATAATTTATTTCATCAAGTGCAAGAGAGGAGGGTTCAGTTAAAGGCAATTGAGTACAATATGAGACAACAAGGTGCAGGGCTGGATGAATACAGCAGGCCAAGCAGCATCATAGGAACAGAAAGGCTGACGTTTCGGGCCTAGACCCTTCATCAGAAAAGGGGGAGGGGAAGGGGGTTCTGAAATAAATAGGGAGAGAGTGGGAGGCGGATAGAAGATGGATAGAGGAGAGGATAGGTGGAGAGGAAACAAACAGGTCGAAGAGGCAGGGATGGAGCCAGTAAAGGTGAGTGTAGGTGGGGAGTTAGGGAGGGGATAGGTCAGTCCAGGGAGGACGGACAGGTCAAGG